GGACGCCGTGGAATCCCAGTCAGGGTGTACCGTCCAGGCACTATCAGTGGACACAGCGTCACAGGCGCAACGAACACATACGACCTTCTCAACGCCCTCATCGTAGAATCGCTCCATCTCCAAAGCTCTCCCAACGTTGAGGGATGGTTCCCTGAAATGGCGCCGGTTGACTTTGTCAGCAGCGCCATCACCACCTTGTGTAACCATGCCGATGGCCCCAACGCAAGCGTCTACCATCTGGGCGATTCGAGCCCTCTACCTGCAGACAAACTATTTGAAAACCTTGCCGAGCTCGGATACAAGACGGATAGAGTCCCTTGGGATGACTGGGTTAAGGTTTGGCGCGAGAATCGCAGCGCTACACATGGCGATGTGCCTTTTACTGTCGACATTCTTCGAGGTGGTATGCCAACCGTCAAGGGATTGCAGTCAGTAATCGTTCTCAAAGACGAGAAGACATTGGCTTTACTGGATATCTATGGTCTGAAACGTCCCAGGCTAGATAGCGCTCTACTGGAGACGTACATGAGACACTTCTACTCTCGAGGATGGCTCCCCCACCCCCCTAAGAGGCAGGCTGTTAATGGGGTGCTATCCTCACCAAAGAAGACGGGCCGGCTGGCTGGCAAGGTTGCTGTCGTCACCGGAGCATCCTCTGGGATTGGTGCCGCAGTGGCAGTTGGCCTTGCTCGGGAGGGAGCACACGTTACTCTCGCCGCTCGCCGCACTGAGGCTCTGGAGGCTGTTAAAGCTAAGTGCACTCAAAACGGATGCGGGGGCAAGGTTCTTATCCAGAAAACGGATGTCACCGACAAGGCCCAGGTCGAGAGCCTTATTAAAACGACGGAGGAAAATCTGGGCCCTGTGGACATTCTTGTGAGCTGTGCGGGTGTGATGTACTTCACCATGATGGCAAATTGCCAGACGGACGAGTGGGAACGAACGGTGGATGTAAACTGCAAGGGTTTGCTCCACTGCCTCTCCTCCACCGTTCCTGGGATGCTCTCCCGAAGCGCCGGGCACATTGTCGCCATCTCCTCGGACGCCGGCCGCAAGGTCTTTCCTGGACTTGGCGTGTACTCGGCCTCCAAGTTCTTTGTTGAGGCCACCCTCCAGGCACTCCGCCTGGAGACCGCCGGGACTGGACTGCGTGTGACATCGGTCCAACCAGGAAACACCCAGACTGATCTCCTCGGAATGTCGACTGACAAGGAGGCGATCAAGAAGTACGGAGAGCCAACGGGCGCCAAGGTGCTTGAGCCGGAGGATGTGGCCAACTCGATAGTGTACGCTGTCTGCCAGCCGAGCTATGTTGCCATTAATGAGGTCCTGATCGAGCCAAGAGATGAACCCATTTGAATGAAATAAGCGTGCTGGGATTTAGCGAACTAGAAACTTATTTAGGATAATGCCAAGTTACCGCAGGCCAGAGCCAGCGTTAGATTTGAATCTCCGTAGCTTATCAATATCTGACGGGGGGAATCGTCACTACAATGAGTGCCTCGCGATTGGTTACTACCCGCGCGAGATGAGCCGAGCCAGTAAGGTGACTGATGATGTTGAGGTGGGAAAGAAGGCGTCAGCAATAATTGCCCCAATCCCTCAGACGGATGATTTCATGCGACACCTGAAACTCGTGACCATCTAGATAGATGCTGGGCGACTGAAAGTGAGACGTCCCTTGGCGCCGGTTCCAACCGTAGCGGACAGTGGGGACAAAGCACAATCCCCCAACGGCGAGGCAGGCGGCAGGCCTTTCCAATCTCCCAGGTTTACCAGGTTCCAACCTTCCAAGGTGCGTTCTGTGCTGGATCAAGGAATTGAATCGCCAAGCCGCCTGGCGGCAAGCACCCTGGCCATCCTACCTCGCGGCGGCAAGGGACTGGCCGTCATCGGTCGTGGGAAGGGGTAGATTGCAAGGCAGGATTGATCCTAATCAGTCGTGCTACACCGCTGCGGGTTGACTTAATATGAGATAAAGCACGTGAACCTGGCTCAGAGTTGTTTCATCGTGGTTGTTCACATGGGCCGGAGCTTTCTTCATATCGGTTGACTGCTGGAGGAGATTCAGACCCGGCGGAGATTTAGAGGGGAGATTCTAAAACTCATTTGCCCCGCCAGGAGGCATTTGCATTGTGGGAGAGAGTGAAGCTGAGGCATTGGAAAACGATTCTAAACAGCAGCGACGACGATGAAAAGATTGACGACACGTGAGCAATGCCATCTCACGAAAGCCCGCTCTGCGTACTCAATTGACCTCAGCAATACTGTTTTCTGGTGGCTCTGCGCGCTGCCAAGCAAAGGAGCTGGTCTTGTTGCTGGCTGGGGCCCTTGAAACGGCCAATAAATGCGCGTGCTGGGATCTCCGAGTTTGAACTTCAGGTGGGCAAAACCACGCCGATTCCAGGGTGCCACCATCTGTCACCACTTCTCTCTAACTCTAATTCGGCCGGCCTTTACATTCCGCGTGCCATACTGGGAATCACTCCCGATCGCTGGTGAAGCTTCTCGAGATTATTCCATCTAGATGGGGCTAATAAGTGGTGGGCGCCTTTAGCGAGATGTGCTGTATCGGATCAAGATGCAAAGCCCTGGCTCTTTTCCCTGGCTCACCTGAGTCTCGGCAGGTCTCACTGGGGGGGAACAACTCTGTTCGTGGTGCCATGCTTGCAGTGCCTTTTGTTAACCGCCCTGTGGGTTGGCATGGGGCCTCGGATGCGGCCGTAAATGAGTGGTGGGATACGACCCACGGGCACGTTTGGTGCAGCAGGGCAGAGACGAGACGACATATATATCGAGGGCGGGAGGCCAGTGTTGCAAGTCTTGGTCTCTCTACCGACTTAACTCTCGTCGAACGAAGACAGGCTCTTCAATTGCTTTCTCTTTCAGTACAGCTGTACATACCATTCTTTCTTTTCCAACCAACTAGACATTCATTCAACCTTGACGGTTTACATTTTCTGCCTCGCCTAGACGACAGCTTGGATCGAACATCCCTACCATCTTACAAGACAATCCATCTTTTCCAACATCCCGATAACAATCATCAAAATGCAGCAATTCGCAACCCTCGCAGCTCTTCTGCCCCTCGTTGCCGCCCACGGCTTCATCAAGTCACCCACTCCCCGTAAGCCTGGTGATGCCTTCAAGGCCGCCTGCGGTGAGCAGCCATACTACCAGCAGTCCTCCGACATCAACGGAAACGTCCAGGGTATCCTCCAGGTCGTTGGCTCCAGCCTGGACTCGGCAAACTGCAACCTTTGGCTCTGCAAGGGTTTCCAGTTCGACGACAACTCGGCTTCAGTCGAGTCATACACTCTCGGCCAGACCATCCCCTTCGAGATCACCATTGCTGCTCCCCACACTGGCGTTGCCAACGTGTCCGTCGTCAAGACCAGCAGCAACTCGGTCATCGGAGACCCTCTCATCGAGTTTGACAACTATGCTAGCAACGCCGGCATCCCCGCCAACAACACTGCCTTCAGCGTGACCCTCCCCTCCGACCTCGGCGGTGAGTGCACCACCGCTGGCGACTGCGTCCTGCAGTGGTTCTGGGATGCCCCTGATATCGACCAGACCTACGAGGCTTGCGTTGATTTCACCGTCGGCGGCGGCAGCGGCTCCAGCCCATCGTCTTCATCCGCCGTTGCCAGCTCCGCCCCTACCCAGACCATTGCCACCTCCAGCGCCGCCCAGACCCCCGTTGCCACCACCTCGGCCCTGAGCCAGGCTCCCACCTCTGCCGCCGCGACTCCTGTGCCCGCCAGCTCGACCACCGCCGCCGGATCTCAGCCCACCACCACCCCAGGTGATGATGACGAGTGCGAGGATGATGGAGCCGACGATGACACCGGCAACCAGGACGACGATGAGTGCGAGGACGAGGGTGACGACACCAACACCGGCGATGATGATGAGTGTGAGGACGAGGGCGACGACACCGGATCTTCTCCCGTCACCTCCAGCGCCGCCGCCGCCGCTTCCTCTGCCCCTGCTGCCGCTTCCTCTGCTCCTGCTGCCACCGCTGTCGCCTCCAGCTCCTCCAAGGAGAGCGTCGTCGCCCAGCCCACCTCATCCACCGTCTTCGTGACCGTCACGGCCCAGCCCACGACCGTCACCGTGTCCGCCAAGCCCACGACCGTGACGGTGACTGCCCGGGCTACCGGACAGTGCTCTTAAAGTATCGGGATACCATGGAGTTTAGAAGGCGGACAACGGGAAGATAGAAGACGGAGGGAAAATGTGAAGAACGAGCCATCTTGATGATGGAGCTCCATTTGTTTCTTGATAATGTATATATAAATTGCGTCCTGGCACTTGGCCAGGAGCGAATCAAAGAGAAAAATATTGAACGGGCATAGCCACAATGAATTAGTCCTTTTGCACGAAGTGAATATGCTTGAATGAACATTAGCTGTATCTGCATGTTGACGATAGATTTCTAGCTTGTGGTGGATGGCTGGGTTACAGACTGGTCTCTCCCGTCTATCAAAGTATGTGGGTGATGCAGCAGATCTCTGTTAGTGGGTACTTCTTGGGGAGGAAGATGTTTCCGCCCCATTTTAACAGACCCGTATTTCTGTATGTATCCAATCATCTTTCCGCTTCCCGCATCAAAGATGGATCACTGGGTCTAGAAAAACGGGGTTAAAAAGGGCGAACTCTCTTTTTTTTAAATCCCGGCATCAACCATCGAAAACATTAAAAATAAAACCACAAAAAACATACAACAGCCGGTATTCGCTGGTCGTCACCGACCCAACTACTAATCGGCCCCTCATCCGTTTAACTAGGCGAGAGCGGACGGGATCGCGTGCTTTCGAATGGGTATGGTCGTATGTGTCAGAGGGACGACGGCTTGAGACTAATGTACCGCAGAGTCGATGGTCGGTAGGAATTAGGGGCACTCCTCTTATCCAACTACACCAGAAAAGTAACATACTGCAACAATCGCTCTACAAGATCTTCCTTCGCAATCCATTGTTAAGTCAGAAGACACAATGGCCCAGCTTTTTGGCCTTCCTAATGAAGTCATCAATCACATCTTGGGCCTTATCCCACGGTCTGATTATACGAAGCTTTGCCTTGTCAATAAATCATTGCGCTACTATGCCGAGCCTTTTCTGTATTCCACCATTTCTCTGAGATGGGACTACTGTCACGTACCTCCCATCGTCTCCCTCCTCCACACTCTCCTCCAGAGACCAGAGTTGTTTTCATACATAGACTCTGTATCTTTACATGGATCAGCGTTTGAAGCTTGGCCGCCAGCCCCTGTGGATACAACTAGGATGCAGCGAGATCAGTTTTCAGCTGCGATCAACAAGTTTCAGGTATCTTATGTCGGTCAGTGGGTTGACAAACTTCGGATAGGGTTCACTAGCATGGATGCTCTTGCTGGTCTCTTGATCGCAAATCTTGCCAATACGACTTTTCTCGCGATTACTTATAACTTCATCGATGAGCTTGATATTACTGCACAAGTGCTCCGGTCCAAGATCCTCGGCCAGCTCCCTAAATTTAGGCAGCTTAGCCGGTTGATTTATCACAGGCAGATGGACGAGATTCTCTTCGAATATGAGCAAGTTTCCCCACTTGCCATGTCTCTGTTTTATATTCCCACCGTTACAGACCTATTGATTACAGTACCAAATCCGGCAGTATTTCAGTGGCCTGCGGGAGAGCCTTGCCTTGACCACCTGACATCGCTGGAGGTCGAATGGGTTTATCCACGCTGCCTCGCTGAAATCCTCGCCCGCACACGGAATTTGAAATCGTTTTCCTGGAATTGGGAGTACTGCTCCGACCCCACAGAAGAGCCTGATTCCAACCTAGACTATGACCAGATCATCGCAGCCCTTTTGCCGCTCAAGGGCACTCTGGAGAGGCTACAGTTTCGATTACACTGCGACCCTGTGTGGGATAGCCCAGAGATCTCAATATCAGGGTCCTTGGACGGTCTTCGCGACTTTGAACGATTGACCTACCTTGATGTGCCGTTGATATCTCTTACCGGGCTGGCACTTGAGCCCCAGCCTCTAGAATGTCATATCCCGCACAGTGTTGAGACGCTTTGTCTAACAGGGGCATTATTACACCACGACGACGCAGTTCAGTGGATGTTGGCTTGGGAAGGCTACTGGCAAGAAGGATGGGCTTGGAGGTTGGAGGCGGAGGATGGCCTTATGGCGGGTCACTTTTGGCAGAAGCCCATCATAGACGTTCTCCGGGCGCTGGCTGAGAAGTGTCCGCCGAGACTGCCACGCCTTCGTCGTGTAATCTTCATTGAAGACTGTGATCTATCGGACTCGCACATGGTTTCTCCGATGAGGCAGCTTGATCTTGAGCATGAAATTGAGTTTGAGATCTCAAGTGAGGGATCGTGGGCTCAGCGGTACCTCCCCGATTCATTAGAAAATCACGATTCGGGCTGAGTTTCAGCATTGTCCCTCCAGTTGATACTCGTTTCACCAATTATGGCTTACTGCAGAATGACGGAGGAATGGTAATTCGTGGTATATAGGTACCTCTACGGCAAGTAGCATTGTCGGCGTCTGCAAAGATATCTCTGGTGCCACCATGATCTTGCCTTGGGGCAGTTGCGTCGCATTCTGGAAACTCCCACCTAAAGAGATGTGCAAGGGCCACTATTCAAGGCGAGAAGCGGAGCCCTTCAAGGCCTTTAGTTGGCCTGCGGGTGGCTTCCACTTTCCGTCTCTTTTCAGATAGATGGTGCGCGGCCTCTACGTAATAAAGGCGACGCGCCCCTGTTCTGCCGCTGAGGCGAGAGAATGCCGCGTGTTTCAATGGATGTGGACGCATGATGCTGCATTGGGCGGCCCATACACGATGGACCACGAGAAATCAAATCGGTGAATGATGATTTTAGGCATCTCGCGACCTGCTGGATCGGGCCTGGCATTTGATGCATGTGCGGTAGAAGGTAGATGCCGGTCCTTGGCGCTGGAGAATAAGCTTTCTGGTGCCTGTTGGCTGAGCAATCCCCGGGTTTTAGTGGCTGGACCTGCCCAAGCTCGAACGACGGCTGTTTGTGCCTGGCCAGCAACATCCACTTCCGTTTGACTAAGTATTGAGTTCTCCCACGCCGACTTGCAGCCACAGCCGGACCTAGTCGCACACTCCAGAGCAACAGATGATCTGCTGCGCATGAGAACTTGCCCGTCCAGGCTTATGTTGAACCTACATACTCCCCCGCGCCCATGGGACACGCATCGAGATACGCAGGGATAGTAGTACCATCATGTCGGTACGGCTCGGTGGCTCGGGCGGCTGCAGAAAGGGGCACTAACATGACAAGGTCCCAGGCACAAGCAGGGCAATCGTCCAGTCTCCGATCCGCTGCTTCTCCACATGGGTGTGTCAAGTTGCATCTGTCGGCACAGTATAGAGGCCAGTCTGTGCTTGATGTCGAGCCACTGCTGGCTGCTGGAGATAAAGACCCTGAAACAGACATGTTACAGGCTGTTCTCTTTGGCAGCTGCTCACTGAGAATGGCCGATCGCAATAGCAGATCTTCATGCTGCCATCTCCCTGACCTCCCAGTCCTCGAGAAGCTTGAAACGGTGCAGGCACGGACGCCTTGTTATCAATTATGTATGCTGATGACTGCGAGCAGAGTGATCGGATGTTTTAGCGTAAGTCCTTCTCCACGAACAAACCTGCCAGCTCTGCGTGCCGCGTAATCGCTGGTCGAAAGCACACACAAGCGGGCCGTACATACTGTCTACTCATTAACCCGCGACCAATTGCACCTACCTTGCCGGGTAGGGAATATGCTCATCCATGGATGGACCCCTACTCCTGGCCCAGTGATACGTACGTATGTAGTGGCTCCTCGTGGCACAGATTGGCTTTTTGTTATTCTTAAAACCTTCCTCCTCTCCCCCGGCATCGCGGGTCCAACTATTCGGAGCGCCCTCTCTTCTACCCAGCGTCCATTTCCCGCGGCACCCTCCTCTCTTCCATCGTTGGGCCTCTCTCTCTCCTCTTTGCTCCCACATTCATACCTATAAGGTTTCTCATGCTATCATTCGTTTGTTCCTATCCCTGGCTTATGGAGTCGTAACAACCCAACCGAATGCAGTCGAATTTCATCTCAACTCACAGTATATGCTCACCTTGTGTTGTTAACGGCCTCGAAACATTTCTTTCTTTACGTCAAGCAATCCTTCACCAGCCTCATACCAAATAATGAGGGTTGTATCTTGTTGATTATCTGGTTACCAACAACTAATCAACGCAGGGGTCCTGCGAGCCACTCTTTTGATACACCAGGTTCTCTGAGATACGGAACAGTAATTTCATCTCTTAAAGATTCTCTATAATCGTCCTCATTTCTCATTATTATCATCCCAAACGTTGCGACTTACAGACTCCACAAAGCAAGCATGGGCAAGCGCTGGACGACCGTCCTCGGCGCCGCCCTTGGCTGCTGGCTTGGCGCTGGATTCGCCAACGCCGACGTGAAGCCTTACACAAACGTCGAGGCCTACTCTGCCCTTGCAGATGCCGCAGAGGGTTTCCCTCGGCAGTATTTCCGGTCCTCGGATATCGTAGCGCCAGTCTTCCAGGTCAACTTCTGGGACCATAATGCGGTCGACGATGCGCCCTACATCTTCCTCGGGTCCGTCTACGGACACATGCATGCTGGTCCGATGATTATCGATGCTCGTGATCTGAGCCTGGTCTATGCGGATCAGAGGTACGAGAACACGTACACCTCCGAGGTCCAGACCATAAACGGCACAAACTATCTCACTTTCTGGGAGGGATTCCACACCAGAGGGCATGCTAATGGCTACTGTCTTCTGTTTGATGAGCACTACCACCTCAAATACAACGTGTCCGCCCAGGGGCTCAACGGCGCGCTGGCCGACATGCACGAGATGGAGGTTACCGATGTCGGGACGGTCATTTTCTCAACGTACTTCAACATCCCGTACGATCTCTCCCCCGTGGGAGGACCAGTGGAAGCTCTGCTTATGGACAGCGGCTTCCAGGAAGTTGACGCAGCAACGAATAAGGTTCTTTTCAGCTGGGCTGCTTCGGACCACTTCAGCATCAGCGACTCCTTGGCGGCCCCTGACGGTCGATACGGTGTCGGCCCAGACAGCGGCTTCGACTTCTTCCACATCAATTCCATTAAAAAGGTATAGTTCGCTCATGCCCCCCCTCTTCGACATAGATTGCTCACTGCTCATTTACAGACAAGCGCTGGCAACTACCTCATCTCCAGCCGGCACCTGTCAATGCTTGCCCTCATCGATGGTGTCGATGGCCACCCGATCTGGACCCTGGGAGGGAAAAAGAACCAGTTCACGGATCTGAGCGGCGGGCGGGCCACCTCTCTCGGATGGCAGCACGACGCTCGCTTCCACAACAACGAGTCTCACATCACCTTGTTCGACAACCACGGTGAGTATACCGGAAAGTGCCAGAATAAGTGCAACACCCGCGGCCTTCACCTGGAAATCGACCCCGCGGCCCTCACGGTCAAGGTCGTTTCCGAATACTACCACCCCGAGCAGATCGACTCCGGCGCCATGGGCGGCTACCAAAAGCTCAACAACGGGAACGTCCTCGTCGCATGGGGCCACACCCCCGGGTTCGTCGAGTATACGGACGACGGGAGGACCGTCATGGATGTCCAGAGGGGCAAAATCGGTTCGGGCAACGTCGAAGACATGTTTGCCTACCGCGTCCAGAAGGCTCACTGGACTGGTCGTCCTAAGTGGCCGCCCAACATGGCCATGGACGCCCCGCATCGGACTGCCGAGAACGCAACGGTCTATCTCTCCTGGAACGGCGCCACAGATATCTTCAAATGGTCCATCGTGAGTGAACCATCTGGCTTCCATTACTTTGAGGCCTGGCTAACCATTACCTGCACAGTTCTCATCGAACGATCCCCTGAATATTAGCGACTACGGAAATCTTCAAACGGAAGCTAAGCGCACCGGTTTCGAAACCAGCATATTTCTCGGGTCGAACAGCACCTCGAGGTTTGTCGGCGCCGCCGCCGTCGACAAGCAGGGCAACGTCTTGGGCTCATCCCTCGTCTACGACATGCAGACCGGCCAGCCCGTTCTGCTGAAGAGTGCCATCGATAGTGTCCAGCCGCCCAAGACGCAGCTCTATCCGAAGACACTCAGCTCCGCTGGCGTCATTGGGGGCGGCGTCGTGGCGGTCCTGGCTGTCTTCGGTTTGTACATGTTTCGCCGCCGGAAGTGTCTGCACCGAGATCCCGAGTCCGCGCGTTATAAGCCACTGGCGAACGTGGATTGACGTGGTTCTGATGTACGTACGTGTCTTGCATTCTGGGAGTAAAGGGGTTAACGGCGAATGGTGGCTATTCCTAAAACTTTCCATATTGAATTTGAATTATTCTGTCCTGTTTCTATTCCTGGAAAATCCAAATGCTGGCCATGTGACGATCTTCCTCAAATCTCTCCAAACAAAACGCTGCCAGACTCTATCTTCAAGTTGACCAGATGAAAGTGTGGCATAGCCCAGTGAGAGCTAGACCATGCAAAAACAATTGTCTTAACTCCGCGACGCTTAAAGATCGTCAATCATTCCCCCGTAGTCATCATAGTCCGCAACCTCATCCAATGCCAATACGCTCTCATCTTCGCGCCCAGCTCCCGTGAGCATGGCCATTCTAGCGGCAATCTTCTTGTCCGGCCTCAAAAGGTTGTATTGCCAGGGAGTTACGAACCCTGGCGCCGTATGACGCAATCCAGGGGAGGACGAAACGACGAGGCACTTAATTGTGGCTAGCTGCTTGCCGGCTATGTTCCAGGTAAATTTGTGATGAGGGAACATCTTGTATGTCCACGATGCTTTGATCAGTGCCCACTTGTTGTACGGCGAAACCCATCCGGCGTCCACTGCATTGTCCTGACTCAAGAAGGAGGCACAGTGTGCTGAAAACCAATTGAAGTTCAAAAGTAGATCGAGCTCGGGAGTGAGCGGGGAGTCCAAGGTGGGTGATATCTGCAACCACTTATCATGGAGTGTCTCAACCATTAGACGATATCGCATGCTGTCATAACTTTGTTGCGTCGTAGCTAAACTCCACTCTTCCTTTAGAGATGAAAGGTCGGCCTGGAGGTTTTTCTTCAGTGTCTTAAAAACCTTGGACCCCTCGTCAGCTCGCAGGTCTATTTCCATTGCGAGCTGGGTAAGATCCGTATCGATTCCCTTGCTTCCGTCTTCAGGCATGGATTCCTTGATCTCCTTCCGTACCTGGTCAATCTGTGGCAAAGCAACGCAAAATTTCAGATAGTCCAAAATGTGCATCTCGGATTGCGAGTGTTTATCCAGTTTGAAATTGGAAGGCAGGCAGTCCATGTCGTATAAAGGATTGTGGAGAAAGGGAGGTGCCCGCACCCGAGTTCGTAAAAATCTCGTCCAGTCTTCTTTAGCGAATTCAATGCCTGCCTTGGCCTGATCGACGAGATGGCTCAGTAAGACGCTGAGCAAAATTGCGGATTCCCCATTTATTGGATTCCCATGATAGCAAAACCTTTCCTTGTACTTTGTACACATTCCCAGGAGTGAACCTTGCATGTTGAATTCGAAGCCCGTCATCCGGAACTCATCGTAAGCCTTAAAGAGGTTGCCGCAATTTCGTTGTAGGTCTTTAAATTTGAAAGTTGTCGCTTCTCTTAAGGTGCCCTCCTGAAGAAAGTCATAGTCCAGTGGTGGAATTGCATTTTCGAAGTTGTCGACGATATCCGGGTCCCAACAAACCCACGCCCGATCGCCATCATAGTCACCCCCCGAGAGAAGATCAGCCAAAGCTCTATTTCCAGTAGTTGGAAAGACAATTACATCCTTCAGTTTTCGGAGATGAGGCAGTGATACTACTTTCACCTTTTGAATGTCGCTTGGAAAATGAGATGGCGAGCGAGCCACGAGGATGTCTCTTCCTTCTAAAAGAGTATCTGAAAACCCTTCTGCTTCAAAGTTTGAAGAGAACGATAAGTGTACTTCGTCGGGCTTCAACCTGCGCTCATCTTCGCCGGGCTTCAACTCGCGCTTAAAATCAACGACAATAAGAGCGGTGGTGGAGCAGGGTACCTGAATATTCCACTTCTTCTTCAACAGATTTGTTCTCTTGTCAACAAGTTGACTGACCATTTCCCTCAGAAGCCAGTTCGATTGAGGCTGAAATCCACAGTCCACGAGATAAGATATTCTTCTCTCGTTCTGGTCTGGTAGTCCACCCAAAAATGGAACAAAGGCTTCGTCAAGCTGTTCAAAGTTTCTCCCATTCTTCTCCATCCATAGACTTAACGCTGCCGAGTTGCTCAGAGCAGCTTTCGCCAAATCTAAGTCTTCCTGTAATCCACGAACAAGATGTTTAGCTACTGCTTCCCTCATCGCGAGCTTCTTCTCAGGCGATGGCGCCTGAGTCTCAAGGATTGGTATAAATTGTTGGTTCAATGAATTTGAAACGAGTTTCCTTGGCCAACTCTTGACCTCGAAAGTCAAGTGTTGAGGATCTTGGAAGTTACATTTCCACTTTCTTTGGGACTCATATAGCTCAATCCAATCATCCTCGTTGGATTCATCGTCTCCAAGATCAATGACCCACATGCCTTTGGCACTTCCAAATCTCGCCTGATACGCACATGGTGCAATGGTCAAGCCAAGATTTGCAGCGATTTTGTTCCCCAAACTTCGTGAGATACGGCCAATACCATCGTTCATGACTTTATTATAAGGTCTTGCGGATACTATGTCTTCCATAAACCGGATTTGCTCATGTTTTAGGGTGACAGTTGGAATAGTGCGACTAAGATCTATGCCACGTTAGTCTGTTATCTCTCAAATTAAGGAAATTGGTTCATATATACTGAGAGCGAGCCGCGAAAACAGTTTAGGCACCCGCTGGTCTCCTGATTGGGACCCGGATATCGACCATTCAAAGAGTTCACTGAGACTCATTTTGGTCCGTTCTTGGAGCATCTCGGCCTCGTGCTGGGGAGGTGCAAAGTTGGGTATAGAGGGAGTGAAATTGTTTCCGTCAATCGCAAAGAAGTATATCTGCTCCAGATACTGATCTCCGGACTTTTCTGGCTCACGGACGTCCTTGATTGGTTTCTTGGTTGGTCGAGTAAAGAATGGAGCCCACAGCCTGCCAAGAAAATAATGGGCTTGGCCGCAAAGCCATCGTATAATAGTCTTCGACCTCTCTCTGTCTCTATCCGCCTCTAAACCGAGCGATTTGGACGGCGCCAGGGTCGGAATGGTGACCTCCAGGAGACGGTCTGAACCCCAGCGCCGATCTAATCGGTGACCAAGTCGAAAATGTAGTGGATCAAGCTTGGCAATATAAAATGGTTCGGAAGGCTTACCAGCCTGGGTGAATTCGATTGAAAGCACGACGACCTTGGTGCCACTCCTAAAATTTTCCAGCGACGCTGCCCAGACAGCATCACTGCTCTGAGGCGGCAGTCCTTTGCCACGGAACAGCTCCGACCGAGTGGCAAGCTGCGCTCGAAGCTTCTTCTGGTCATGCCACGCATCGTTAGGCTTATACATGAGGTCGAATTCGCCAACGTCAACGCCACAATGGGTAGCTGCTCGGGTTATCTCCCAAACGACGCCCAGAGGAGCATGGTTGAGCGATTCTGGAAGTTTAGCTATGTGATGATTTAGCTTTCAATAGACATACGGCAAAGTAAATTCATGAAGCCTACGCCAGACATGCTCCAGTCTTTTCTCCAGAGAAAGAGTGTGTTTGCTTGGTTGTGCTGTTCCTGAGAGACGGTCTGGGAGAGTGATGGGTACGTCTGTCTGGTATGAACTTGATTGACTGAGGGATTCCTGGCTGCTGAGTGAAGTCTCGCTTTCGTATCTTGTCGAAAAGGAGGTATTGGCGAAAGACTGTCTGGTTGTTGCCGTAGACTTGCTTGTGAATGAAGTATTTGGGGTCACCAACGGTGACCTACATGGTGATGATCTGTGCGGTATATCGTCGAGATCATCATATTGGTGTGCGGTTCGGGTAACCGTCCGCCTACGCTCATGGTCAAGCGGTTCGTCAGAAGCTCTCTTAAATGATCGCCCCGATCTGTCCACGCCAGGCGAAGCTTGATGATAGCGTTCTCTCTGACCCAAGGCGTTGGTACCAAGTGGGGCCGCAACATCGGACATATTAACTTCATAATGGCGAGCTTCTTGGGTGAAATGTTGGAGGGGAGTTAGACTTGTTAGTTCTTCTGAGCGGCCACTTCTTCGTCCACCGGCTCTCTTGGGAGTTTGGTTCATGATGATGACATCAACAGCATCTCTTCGACCGTTCGTCTTGTATTTGCGGATCACAGGCTTGTGAACAAATCCAAAGAGAGTTCACATATCAGTAGGTCATGGGTTAGCAAGTAATACATCCAAGTGACCCAGGGCGAGGGTGTGAGCACAGAGCAGGGGTTCATGCCCAGAGGAGGAACGGTTCGCGGATAGCCCACACTCCCAAATTCAATCCCCCTCAAAACAATGGCCAGTGAGGGGAAGCCAGGAACGTGCCCCACACGCGCCCTGGACGCGAAGGTGGAGCGGAGGCACGTGCTCTGGACACTTTCTAGGCGATAACGAGCGATAAGGATGCGATACCGGAGTAACGACGGCCCGTGAGCGGGGAAAGGCTGCCCAACGCCGCCGAGCCCGAATCTTCAGCGAAACTCCAGGGATCATAGCCGGGCAGCTCTTCATCCTCGGTGTTCGGCATCTCTCAATATTTCCAGCTTTCAAGGTACAGCAAACGTCGGTGTATTATTCAAGGAAACACACCCAATCGCACTTCAATTGACTCCACTATCGCAGGCCGGGCTTTTTGTCCTGTGGCTTCAGCATGCCAGACAATCCTGACGAGCCCGAGGAGCAGGTTTCTGTTGATCAGCTAACTCCTGAGGAAGCCAGTCGCATCATTCATTCTCATCGCAAAGTTCGATATGGTAAAACCCCCTCACCCCAAGCCTCGTATTGGCAGTACCATAGAGAGAGGTTTACTCCGAAATGAGTCTATGGTGTCGCGAGGACTGAGTGTGCTAATAATCAATTACAGGAACCGCGTGTTGGCCATGCCGCCAGCGAAAGGTGAAGTGCGACAACAAGCAGCCGTGTGAGAACTGCGTGAAGCGGGAGCATGCCCAGCTATGCTCCTATAAGCCCAACCGGTCATCTGCTTCCAAGGCGCAGCCGTCTGCCTCCGCGGAGAATACCTCACGGAAGCGGGCTCGGTCCTCCTCAGATGCTCGCGATGCAAATTCAAGAGAAGGGCCACTGAAGACTGAACGGCAAGACAGCTGGCCCCGCACAATAGGTGAGCGCAAGTCTTCCGGCCCCAAGCAGATAATTGATGGGAGAGTGTAATAACAAGCATCATAGCCAGTCTTGAGGATTCGGACGGGGCTACTGATCGCTACCTCGGGCAGAACAGTATTCCAGCCCTGCTGCGGGAGCAGTCATCTCCCACCGACAAGAGCGACCGTGTTGATATCCGTCAGGATATGAGACCTATCCTAGGCCTCGATACGTCAGCACCGTTCCCTCTGATGTCCTCCAACCACCTGCTTCGCTTAGCCCAGGACATCTCGGCGGAGCTTCCCTCCGACCGAGAGGTGATGAGGTTCGTTACATATGAGACCTAATTATAGCGACCAGATACTCATAAACGACACAGACTCTTTCGAACATACAAGGAAATCCCTCAGCCCTTCTGGGGCTTTGTTGTTGACATTGATGACTTCGAGGCCAAATTGATGGTTTACTTGGAAGAGCGTTCGCGGAACGCCGTCACTAGCAGTACAGTCAAGTCACCCAGAAAGGCCACAGCAGCATGGCTTGCCATCCTATTTGCTGTCCTAGCTGTTGGCTCCCAATATCATGAATCCCCTTATCATATCCGAACAAGAGCTTCACAGAGATATATCCAAATCTCGTTCCATTTTCTCAGGCTGGGGAATTTTCTCCTACGGTACGTAACGCGCATCCCTGCTTTCCGAAGCCGATCCTTAGATCAGGCCACTTACACAGTCAGGCCTTCATTCGACTCCATCCAAGCCCTTCTGCTCACGAGCTTCGTGCTTCTCAATGATATGAAAGCTGAAGCATCATGGGCCTTGACTGGACTCACATGTCGCCTGGCCCAATCTCTCGGCTTGCATCGGCCCAATGCCAACGAGGGCCGCGAAGACGCACCACCTGAGGTCAAGTTGAAGGACAACATTCGGCGCAAGTTGTGGTGGACCTGTGTTTGGCACGACACTCTGACTTCATTGTCATTCGACAGGTAAAATTTTACTCCATTTAGCTTGTTCACAGTGATTCGTTGAGGCGCTAACTAATCGTCGCAGGTCACCAATGACCAACTTCCCGAGTTGCCGAATTCCTCTCAAGTCGGACCCTTCTATTAGCAATTACACATACATCGAGACTATGCATCATCTCATTGAGATTATTTCTCGACGATTGAATCCAGAGTCAATGGCCACTGCCTCTTATGCTCAAATTGTCGACCATTGCGAGGCTGTTGAGAATCTGCGATCGCATGCCTGTGCCCATATCCAGGACAAGGATCAGTGTAAAACAGCTTTGGACCGCTTGCAGTTTTTCGCTATTCGCCTCCACACATCGTTTGTTATTTCTGTCGCATGCCGTCCTGCCTTGAAAAGAGATAGTGAGTTCGACACCAACCAGAAGAAAGTGCTTGTGGAACGATGTAAGATCAACCTCACCGAAACGGTGAGGATGTTCCTGGCTATGCACCAACTTTCTGTCATTCCTACTCGGAGTTGGGCATTCACCTACCACGGCCTTTCCTCCGCTCTTCTCCTTGGGCTTCTCTGCGAAACCAAGACCGATCCCGAGGTGCGACAGCTCCAAGGCGATCTCATAGCGGCCCTGTCAGCAACCGCTGCCAAGGAGGCGTCCCCAGATCCCCATATTCCTACCACGGATAAGGACATTGAGCTCTCCGGTCCTCTTTGGAGGGCTCTCACCGCGCTCAAGAACATCTACGATCACGGGACCATTGGGCGCTCGCACTTGAGGAAGACTGTTGACCCTTCATCAGCCGGTGGCAGCGGAGACAGAACGCCTCTGCAGGCATATGCACTAACCAACGGCAACGGCAACACCCAGCCACAAATTCCATTTACAAATGCCCAATTCGCGGGTATTCCATCTTCCAGTGACCCGCGCGAAGATGCAGCACTTGCCATGGCAGAGATGCAGAATGGCGCCTCTCTTCAGGAATTCAATGGGTAAGCTCAAAGGAAGCAGTTTCCAGCTCGCTCTATACACGACTAACAATCATGCCAGGAACCCATACGCCACCACACTCCCGCCCAACATCAGCCTGGAGGAGATGGCCGCCGTCAGCGTTGATCCGACACAATACATGGCTCCGATGGAGCTGTACGATACCATTTGGGGAGGTAAGGCCAGCCAACGCTCATTCTCAGAGTTGCCAACGTTTCTCAATACTGACCAGCATCTGAATAGAATCACCCCCCGATCCATTCAATGGCGGTATGGATCCCGTCACCTTTGACTTTCTCGCCCAGCCTCCACCTGGCCAACCGCAGCAGCAGTATTATTTTTGAAAGTGGGCATCTGAGACTTTTTCTTATGTTCTCGGGTAATTATTGTGATATATAGGCAATTTTCGAAAGCATCTTGCATTTGAATTACAGCCAGGGAAAATTGAGCGAGCTTGGATCCTATTTTTTGTAGTTGAATATCATTAGAAGTTATGTTGTCACATTACTAGCACGAACAAGGGAAAAAATTGGAAATACAGAGTTCATTTGACTACCATAGTATTCTCGATTGTATTCATGTTCGCATCAGCATATCGTCAGGGCTCTCTTTGTTCATCAAAGCTGCTGTTCTCCAGGGAGAAGCAGGCCATCAGGTCGCGGCTGTGGGCAGCAACAGCTACAGGAGGTTAGGCATGGTTTGATCCATGCACAACTCTTCCCAAAAGCCTATCGCTTGCATCCTACAAGCTGCGACATGTAGTGCTCATCATCCGATATTGCTGCGGTTTCGCTCTCCCGCTGGAAGGGAAGACCTCGCGACAGGGGAATCGTGACCTATCGAGTCTATCTGCCATTCCGGTCTCTTTTCATTCCATTTTTACTTTTCTCCTTTTTTTTCTTGTTTACTTCTTACGCCTGGAGGTGCTGCTGACTATTTTCTTCTTCACAGCCTTGGGCATCTTGTCTTTACGCTTCTCGCGCTTGGCCTCCTTGACAGCTAGTTTGTGTTGCTAGGGCAGATGTTAGCATCGCTCTAAATATTAAGGGATCGTGAACCAGACTCACCTTTTTCTCATCCTTATCTTCGAACTTTCTTCCACGGGGCCTACCCTTTTCGAATCGGCTCTCATCCTCGGAATCATCACTGTCGAGCGCCGCTCCTTCTTCATCAGAGGAGTCCTCGGCACCCTCCTCCGATTCCTCGCTCCCCTCGGTCTTCTTACCCTCTTCCTTGGGAGCAACAACCTGGTCAGCCAGCAAGTTACTGTAGACCAGTTGGTCACCTTCTCCCTTTCCGAGTCGCTGTACGTCCTTCTCGATGTCGTACACTTGCTCGAGGGTCTGGGGAATGTACTGGTTCCGGAAAACCTCGTTATCCACTTCCAGCTCGGCTAGCTGGTCCTCGGTGACTGAAGGGCGAGCAACATACAGCTTCTCGATGGCCTCGGACATGGCAGGCTCCTCTACAGGCTCCTCGGCGGCAGTGATGAAGTTGAAGATCATGCGATCAGTCAAAGTGTCAACGCCCTTTCGGCGGAAGAAGTCGCCAACATTCTTGATGTCCATTCGCAAGAACTCGAGGGATCTAGGGTGATCGGGCTCAACACTTTGGGAAACATCGATGATGTAGAGCTTGCCATCATGGTAAAGGATGTTGTACTCGCTCAAGTCGGCATGGACCAGCCTGCAGACTTGGTAGATCCGGCGCATAATGCCCAGCAGCTGAATGTAAAGATCACTCCACTGCTTCTCCACATCATCGCCGTCCAGAACGGCATCGCGTAGTCGAGGATAAGCCCAACCCTTCTTATCACCCAAGAAGCTCATGGCAAGAACGTGGAGCTTGAGGCTGAGCGGTTCGGGAGAGGGGATTCCGGCATTGTGGATACGTCGCAGGTTACGGAACTCCTTCTCAGCCCATAACTTGACCATCTTGCGGTTGTTTCCCTTGTCGAACCCACCCTTGAAGCGGTGCTCACCAGTGATGTATCGCTCTCGGTCCTTGAACACAAGAATGGCCGTTTTGTACACCTTGATGGCTCGCTGGATGGTATCTCCGGTCTTATCGTCGTATGTCACTGCGCCGTAAACGTTTGCTTCTTTGCCCGTGCTGATGGCGCCGTGGACTTCACTGACCACGCCACGGTTGATCATCTGCAGCAGGATCATACGTGTGCGCTGATCCAAAACCTGCTCACTCGTCGCACGGTCGGCCTTGTCCTTGTCTTTGTCAGTGTCTTGCTTGACACTGTCGAGACGGATTTTCGCCGCATGCTTAGAGAGAGCAGAAACTTGGTCGTCGATACTGGCAAAGGTATTCGCAGTGGGCTTTTGTTGGTTCGACCTGGGCGCGGCGCCAGAATCATTCAACTGTCTTTGTCTGTTGTATGATTTTGTGAAATCTCCCGTCTCATTGCCCCATTCGTTCTCGTCGACATCATCGGCGTTGTCGTCGAAAATATCGTCGAGGTCTTCATCTTCGTCGGCAGGTGCGGGTGCGCCTCTGGGCATTCGAAGCACGTCCTGAACATCGCTCGAAGGCTGCTCGTACCCGTTGTTTGCTGTGTATGTGAATGGTGGTTGGTGGGGTGCTGCTGGTGCTGCCGCTGGGGCAGTCTCCTCGCCAGCCATCTTGGTGGTATTTATGGTTTTGGAATGTAAAGACGTAATGAGGGAGGCTGGGCTGGGCTGCCTTCTTTTTTTTTTTCTGCCCCTCGAATTTCCATCGCGGGGTTCTGCGTGCTCTTTATCTTATCGGTTTAGTGGGTCCAGGCTCATCAAGGTGTTGTTCACTGCTCGTAGCCATCGTGACTCATTAATCATCACCAAGCCTCATAATTCATCACTCCAGGCGGGCATCGACGCCTCGAAGGCCCAGACAGGCATCTTTTGATTGTTCTGCCAGAGATTATGGAGGAATTTCTATCTTTGGAGAGGAATTTTGTCCTTTCTTGATACATCTAAGCTTCTACCGCCAGAATCTGTTTCATCCTCTGACGGCCCCTTTCCAAGTGGATATGCTATCCACAGGTCTCAGCCTGACGCCTCCAGCCACCACTCACAATGGATGTGCTAATTGCGAGTCTCGCTTCAAATTTGACATACCCCAGGTCCCGTGTTTCTACATGGACTCTTGGAGAAGTACTGAGCGCTGATCCTGCAGAGCAAATAAGGATTCTCGAACACCAAGCTAATTGACCGTTGAGTGTTTCGGCAACATGCAAAGCTTACGTCCTCGGCATCGGAGCCTTTTTGCCTCTGTCTCTCAAGGGCGGAAGCCTTTCGAGCTCCCTTCATGTCCAAAACACAGGCTGCGTTTAAGCATGACACCACTCCTTGGCCGCATTCCTTTTGTTTGGTTGCTCAGCCGATGTCTCTCCCGTCGCGTTCCAACGTGAGGGCTTGGCTATAGGCCTCTGTTATATAGTCCATCCGCTCTTTTCAATGTGAAATGACCGTACCTATGTAGCCATTCTACCGTGTTCCCGTTCTCCAGTCTCTCATTGCACCTGAGGCTTCTAGATCCTCGCTGTCGACATCATGAGAGTCATTCATGCTCTGCTCACTACCCTTCCATCTCTAGTATGGGCTGCGTCACTCCCAAGCCCGGACGTGGACAGTCGTTCAGCACCAGATGTCCAAACTTTGCAAAGTGCAAAAACAGTCAGTCTATCGCAGGTTGAGAACAAGAACTTCCAGCCCGAGGACCCATCAGTGGAACTTATCCGGACGTTTGTCAAGTATGGCAAGCCCTTAACTCCGGGTTTGTCGGAAGCCATTGAGCTTAACCCAGATTTGAATGCCAAGTTTAAATCATACATTGGCGGTGGTGGTTAGATATGGTCGATGACGCCCCCTCAGTTCCTCTACTAATAACGCTACAGGTGATACTGGGACTGCTCAAGCATCCCCTCCTGCGCTCTTCGACATTCAATATGTAGTCCCTGTTTCAATTGGGACGCCGCCCCAGAAGACACACTTGAACCTGGACACGGGGTCTGCTGACTTGTGAGAGCCTTAACCCTGTACCCGGTAGTTCTCTGCTGACCTCGCACCTCTTAGCTGGACCTTCTCGACCGATACGTACAGGCCATTGGTCCGAAACCAGACACTCTACAAGCCCAGCTCTTCCAAAACCAGTAAGCTCTTGAAAGGCGAGGCATGGAACATCCGGTACGGAGATGGAGCAGGCGCGAGCGGGATCGTGTATAAGGATCGAGTCCAAGTCGGCAACACATTCTTCAATGAACAAGGTGTGCAGTCTGCGGTGCAGGTGTCCTTTGAAATCTCCAGCGACAGTTTCGCCTCGGGAATCATGGGCATGGCCATGAGGGGCATCAACACCGTCCGGCCCACCCCGCAGAACTCATATTTCGAGAACATCCTCCCCAGCCTCAAGCAACCGGTCTTTACCGCCAACCTGCAGAAGGGCAGGCCAGGGAACTACAACTTTGGCTACATCGATGATAAGGAGCACATCGGTAACATCACATATGCGCCTCTGCTCGACGACACTCCTTTCTGGGAGGTGAATGTCACGGGCTATCAGGTCGCCAGCAGTCCATACAAGCCGGTGGTGTGGAACGCCCTTGTGGACACCGGCACTTCCCTCCTCATTCTGCCCGAGAACATCGTGGACGAATACTACACAGGCGTCGAGGGGGCAGCGTTTGACCCAAGACGCGGAATGATGCTCTTCCCCTGCGAGGTGCAGCTCCCAGACTTCTACTTTGGCATCGGGGACTACAGAGGGAAGATCCCCGGCCACTACATCAACTATGGGAAGGCCGATCGCTCATACTGCTACGGAGGAATCCAAGCCACGGATATACAGGGTCCCTCGGTGCTTGGTGACATTCTACTCAAGGCGCAGTTCGTCGTTTTTGACGGGGGGAAGAATGCAGTTGGATTTGCTAACAAAAAGTTGCTGCCTCCTCCTAAGATTCTGAACGGGGTATAGAAAGAAATCACGGTTGCCCAGTGTTTAATTAGCTAGCTTAGCGTATAGACTTAGTTACCAGAATTGAATTTGTATTCATTTAGCTATGTTAGTGGACAAGTGTTACATGGGAGCAGGATCAGCAGATTGTAAGACAGGCTTGAGGGAATGCAAATGCTTCCACAACTCATAGTCCATAATTTCACGGACCCAGGCACATTATGAGAGCCATAGATTCACGGATTCAAGTGGGAAAATCAGCCCACGACGAATTACACTCCCTAACTCCGGGACAACACTTATAGAAAACGATGATGATACGACAAGAAGCTCTCCAGGGTAGGTGGAGGGACACGTCAAACTCCGAAACTCCGGACGATGTACTCGGACCTTCGCTGTACATTACGTCCCTGCCATGAATCGCGACCGACATAAATAAGCCCAGGATGGCAGAATCACGCAGGAAGGCTTCACTACTGATCAAGGAGACCTCAGGCATCTCCAGAGATCCTTCCTGACTCTTTTGTTTCATTGAAATTCTAGGCTGGCAGCAACACGACCATGACACACAACCCCAGCATCCTGGTCATTGGGGCCGGCGAGCTAGGCACCGCCATGCTCGAGGCGCTGGCCAAGCACCCACTCCGCTCCCACGTCAGCCGCCTGTCGGTGCTCCTTCGCCAGGCAACACTGGACTCGGCGGCGCCCCAGAAGCGCAGGCTGACCCAGGAGCTCCGGGCCGCGGGCGTGCACTTCGAGGCGGCCGACATCGTCGCGGCGTCGCAGGCGGAGCTCGCGTCCATCTTCGCCAGGTACGACACCGTCATCTGCTGCACGGGCATGTACCTCCCCGCGGGCACGCAGACCAAGCTCGCGGCCGCCGCGCTCGAGGGCCAGGTCGCGAGGTACTTCCCGTGGCAGTACGGGATGGACTACGACGTGATCGGGGCGGGCAGCTCACAGGACCTGTTCGACGAGCAGCTGGCCGTGAGGAAGGTCCTGCGCGGGCAGCAGGCAGCCAAGTGGACCATTGTGTCCACGGGCCTGTTCATGAGCTTCCTCTTCGTCAAGGAGTTTGGGGTGGTGGACCTGGAGGACAAGGTCGTGCGAGCGCTCGGCTCCTGGGGGAATCAGATCACGGTCACGGTGCCGGACGACATCGGCCGCGTGACTGCTGACATTGCTCTGGACCCTGATGATCTGGGACATGGCAGCCAGGTGGTCTTTTGTGCGGGGGATACCATCTCCTATGAAAAGCTTGCAGACCTGCTGGATGCGCATTTCCAGACAAAGTTCCGCCGCGAGCTGTGGGATGGTGAGATCCTGAGCAAGCAGATGGAGGAGGACCCCAACACCATGGTCAAGTACCGGGACACGTTCTCGCACGGTCGAGGGGTGGCTTGGGAAATGGACAAGACTGTGAATCAGAAGCGGGGTATTCCCATGACAAATATAAAGTCATACCTGGAGAAAGTGTATCCAAGACACTAAGAATAAGGCAGAGTGAGTTGTTCAAGGAATATCTGCCTGTTTGGGCGAGGCACACTTTGGTGGGTGGGCATTATCAGGCCATGAAGACGACGGGCACCTTGATGATCCAGCCGTAGCAACGGATTAGGCACGATTAGAAAATGCAAATCACTCGTATCTGTATGAGCATCTGCTGAATATTCATGCGCGTTCAATGAAGGAATGCGTGGTATTGCAGGGAAGACCTGCGCAAGTCGAACGCATTATTCTATGGCGGCGCCTTTGTCAATGGAGAGAGGGGAAGGCTTATCCGACCAACAAAGTAACTGAACTTATATCACACTCTTATGCAAGGGATGGTATTAGAATCACTAGGTACATGGCCTAAAATTCTTGCTGCATTGTCAGTCTCATCACACTTGGGCCAAGGAACAATGGCTGAACGCCATGACGACTTCCGCCGTGTGCTACACTAGAATGAGCCTGGTACCTCCATCCTCCGGAAGTTTAGGTTGCAACTCAAGGATACATCGATATTACACATAATTAATAGAACCGAGGTTGAACAGGCACTGGCCAGTTAACCGGGACAATGATTGCCGTGAGGGTGGGTGTTGAAGTTGGTTTGGAGCCTCAGGAAGCACTCGAAGATTTCCTTCTTTGGAAATGTCCTATACAATCTATTATCGCACGCTCTGACCAACCACTAAGCGATTTATGAGTCTATGACAGTGTATATCCGGGGTACTTCGGGGTTCCAAGGTTCCGGTATGGCATGGGTGTCACTGTTGTGACTCAAGCCCGGGCGTGTCGCTTATTCCAGCCTTGCTGGTGGAACAATAAACGATCTCGTACTCTCTCGGGATCCTAGGCAGACTCTCTCATTGCCTGGCAAGTGGGTGACACAAGGGATAAGACACCATACCAGCACTTCAAGCATCCATACCCGGAGAGGCTCTATGTTTGATCCGCCACAGCTTGACCCCAAATTACCTTAAAAACTTAAGAATAAGACTATAATATATCTTAAAGGGCATAGAAAGAAGAAATATATTTTTTCAAGCCTTATTATATCTCTTTTGCCGCGGTATACAGCCAAAAAGAAGACGTAAGAATTTGGTGTCTCATCCCTTATGTCACCCACTTGCCTGGGTCAGAGGCAGACGTGTGGATGTAAGTGATGGGCAATGCCCGGCTACCGGCTTCTGGGCCTGGGCTTGTCTTGCTTGGACGCATGTATCACATCACCCTTGGGCTGCCTTTCCGGCAGCAGAACAGCTGTGCATGACATGCCATTGAGACAATAAAGGCAGTGGTGTTGCAGCCGCTGAAGCCGTCACAAAATGAGCCTGCATAAATGGCTTGAAACGGAGAGCGAGGGGGGCCACGCGCCTCGATAAACAGCCAAGTGGCTAACTACCTGAGGCAGGGAGGTGCAATGGGACGTCAATATGTATGTACGGATGAGCGAGTTTGAGCTAGCGCTGTGAAGCACAGCGTAGTATCTCGACTTGGAGATAAGGCACATGCGGAATCAATTGGTGAGGCTTGACTAGAGTGTTTTGCCTGTTTTGGTCAACCGATTGCTGCCGCAAGCGTGATGAGCATGAGAACAAGGTGTGTGCTTATCTGGATGTGATGGAAGCCGAAACAGATAGCGGGGGATTTGCCGAGCCCAGGAGATAAGGAGAATAGAGACCGAATGGCCTTTGGAGCAAGGAATACACTGGGAATTCAGTGATCATTCGAGCCTCTTGCTCTTCCTTGATTGCTTCGGTTGTTGTTTCGAGCACAAATGTATGTAGTCATCGCTCGTCATCATTACCGAAGGGCATCCAGAACTGTTTGGATGGAGAGCGTGCAATTTGATGGATCGATAGTGCTGGAGCAAAGCAGCCGGGGCCTGGGCTCAGCTGGGGTCCGGTGACTGACATGCTGCAATTCCAGGCGGGAGCGCCCTGTGACTGACCCAATCTTAGCCCGGGACCCCCTAACCCCAGGCTGCACGTTTCCATGGCTATGCGATGCTGCGCTAGGCACACACACCAGCGCTTCAAACCATGGCAACATGGAACCTGCAAACACTCAAGCACGGTGGACCTGTGATGCACCCTGGTCGCACGTTGTTGGAGCAATCAGGTGCATAGCTTAATTCAGAGTTGGCGTCATCGGCATCATCGAGTGCGAATCTCCATCATTCGCTCGCCTTTTGTTTTGCCCCGCTGCACTTTGCCATGGCAATCCGGGCGCAGCGGACGATGAACAAGGCAATGAAGTGCATCCCTATCTATGGCATATCGATGGCCGGTAGGTACGCATGTAACGCCTCGATTGGCATGCTGGATCCCGAAGCAGATCAATCTATCGCACTCCCCGAGAGCCCGAGACAGACTGTTCTGGCCTGCTGCTCCCACCAATTCCCGTCGCTGGCCGTCTCCGGTCCGGCCAGAAGGCTGAGTCAAAGAGCCGTTTGTCAGCCTAATATCTATCCGTCCTCTGGTTTCTTTTCTTGGAGGACGAGCAATAATATCACGTACGCATCCAGTTAGCCCCGTGTTGAGGCATGGCGTGCGCCACCAGCTCGCACACGGTCTCTTTCATGCTGTTTGGCTCCCATATCGTCATCCATCCCGGTGACTCACGGTCAGCCGACCAACGCTCGCACTTCCTTATCCGTCCCTGCTGGTAATTCGTGCTTGCATCGGCCTCAGCTTGCCTCGCTACTCACACGCCCCCTGTCCTGTCCCTGTCTCCGGCCCCTGTGACGATGACTCTTTGCTCCACCCGCCAATCAGCGCAGGCGCCCGTCCAGGCTGCCTGGCCGATTCGCCAACCCCAGACAAAGGTGTCTTGCCCGTCTGCGCAGTCCTGAATGTTATAATAACAAGTCTCGACTTCCGGCGCTGGCCAGATGATTCCTTGTCTTTCCACAGCTTTCAGCTTAATTTCACTAGCCTGATCAGCCTTCTACTACGCGGTCAGGCGTACGCCTTGTGCATGACTTTTTGAACCCCGATTGCCTAATCTTCCAACTTACATCTCCACCAAAAACCACCGCATCTACACATCTGTGCCGCTGAGCAGATAACCCTTATAACCCGCCCATCATGGATACTCTCGTCGCTTCTGCATCCGACCCTGACGTCTTGTTCACGGAGCGATATCCCTTTTCCTCCGCAAGATCAAATCACAAATCTCTTCGCAGACGGACTCTGAACCATCGGGTTCGTCTTGCCGCCAAGCGATATGCTGCTGAGCATCCCGCCGAGCAGGATGTGTGCCAGGCAATAGGATTGCCTTGTTCCCACAACCAGCTCTCTTACGATCTCGTCTTCGGCTCAGAGGGCTCCCAGCATCGCCGCCCTCAGGGATCAGGCGCTCGTCGCCTACACCTTGAACAGTCTCTGGCCCGTCACGAGCGTGCTGTTAGTGCCGCTCAGGGCCTCTCTGCTGCGCCTCGCTCTCATCACAACCGGAAGTCCGCCAACTTCCAGGATGACTCGATAGCTCTTGCTCGCAGTTCAGCCCGTCTCCCCTGTGACCGCCATCGCTCTCTCCAGAGGACTCCCAGTCTCGAGAGAGAAGATGCCTTCTGCGATGCCTCTACTTTCAGGCAACGAGCCATCCATATCGGTCGCCTCCCCGCCGCCCCCATGGACGAGGACACTCAGGTGGCTGAACTGTATCGAATGGGCCTTCTCTACGACGATGCCGACAAGGCCCGCAACGACTCGGCCTCCTTCGGACTCAACAACATCCACCACGACGCGCCCATCTATTCCATTCGACCTGCCCGCCGCAGCCAAAAGCAGGGCAAGTCGAAGGGCCTCGGAAAGGATGCCCCCCTCAACCTGGACCTCTCTTTCGCCGATCTGGGCAAGGATGGCGACCTTGCCCAGTATCTCTCCGCCTCCGCCGACTCAACCGATGCCGGGAGTTGGCCAATTCAACATTCCGCTCCCACAAACGCCTCTGGCCAGGAAACCGCTCCGCTCCGCGTTGTCTACGAGCTGGAGAGCTCCCAGCCTTCCTTTGACGTAGACACCTCGCAGCCACCCGACCTGGTGACAGACATTCTTTGCGAGTACGACTATTTTTCAGACAGCGAATTCGACGACACCGGCGACGTGCCCTCCCAGCGGGAGGTCCACGATGAGTCGCCTGCAGCCACCTCGTCTTCAGGCGTCTGGGTTCTACTGGGTGACGACTCGTAGCAAGTCCGCTCTCGGGACCCTTCTTCGTTCCCCCCGCGACCGGGGGTGACGAAGCAGGGCCCGGGGTAAGAAAAAAACGGTGGGAGAGCCTCACCTCGGACTGGTCCTCATAACCCCCCAGTATATACTTACAGGCGCCGCGGGGGACTTGAGGGAAAATGAGAAAGTGATGGGACGTAAGTCTCTTCCGGGCGGGCTCCCGCGCGCGCGCATCTCTGGCGCGTTTCGGTGCTCGCGTTACTGCAGACGCTTGAGCATCGCGCGCTATGTGAGAGGTGCGGTGCGGGATCTTGTATTGTACAGTACCAATGCCCAACGGGATGGGATGGGTCGGAGGAGTTTGGCTCGCATCACACTCTTATTTACGGATTTGCAAGCATTCAGCCGGTGTTTGAAAGGAGCGTTGCTTTATATTTTTATTATTATTCTTATGAACATGTCATATCTTTCTTCAAACTACTTTCTATTTTTATCATTAGCCATGGTCACAGGAATGGTTCATTAGACGTGTGAGGCTCAAGCAATAGATACCACCGCATCAAGCGCAATGCTTATCATATTTCATTCTAATGCACTGGTGTTTCAATGAGTCTAATGCCCTGTGCCTTTGAAATAGAATTAATAATGTAATCCCAGAATGGGTCTTAAGTCTATAAGGATAATCCGTGATACCTTTGGTCAGGATGTCACCGAAATGTGGCCGTACACACATCCACCTAGAATCTCAATGAGGCACTAAAATGAGAAAAAAATGATTGGGCGTAGCATTATCATTCTCATAAACACCGTTATTTGACTTAATCTATT